TTGTGGTAACTTCATTTAAAATCTTAACTCAGACTACGAATACGTTCGTAAAAATAATTTAGTAATTCTCCTTTCAAGATTATTATGATGCTGGACTTACAAAGTTAAGTATCTGAAGACTAACAACTTTGTAGTTCACTGCACAATTATTTAATTTATAATTTTGTATTCAAATAGCCTTATTCAACCGTGACCACTAATATTTATACATATACTAATCAAAAATAGAAAATCGTTGAATATTGTCAAGATATACAAAATTAAAACCATTAGTAGTTGGTGATAGGAATACTATATTTTTCTGAATACTTGTACTTTGACACCTGTGTATTATCATCAGCTATCGATAAAAGAATTATAGATTACATGAATCTTCATCTTGTTACGAAGTTGTATTTACAAGTATATAAGGATTGGTGAACCTCATGAGACAACTCAAAGTGCATAAATATATCATGAATTTCTAGCAACGTAATATTTAGTTCTTGGCCTGTTTTAAAAATCACTAACCTCCCACGTTATTTGCAAAGTATTTCTTCAATCCGTCCTACAATATCCGTATGTATTTAATGAGATGCCATTTTATGTAAAAATGAAAATGCAAAGTGAAAAATAATATTTCGTAATTCATACTGTCATTTCACAGTATTGTACAGTATCCATCAGTTTATAATCATATAACTACAGAATGTTTTCCACAAAGTGAAGATTTTTAATGAAATCTATGGGCATTGTATAAATTTTCAACTCTAGAGATATATATAGCTTGGTATGGTACAAGTGAGGTATTTGATGACTATCTCTTTCTATCAAGACCAAGCCTTAAAGGTCAACTAAAGGAAAATAACTGGGTTCTTTTAAAAACCGATAAGCTTCCAGAATCCTGTGTATGTTGAAGTTATTGGTTTATAGCTTACAAATTGTTTCTACTTGAATCCCATTTATTCTCTGTATTGGTCACCTAATGTCTATGTCTGAATTTTCTTGAATAATAAATAAAAAATCATGATAAGTCAAATCAGCTATTTGCTTTTGACGTCTTCATTTATATATAAAAGCATCATCCACATCATTTCTTGAACAAATTATAAATGAAGTCAAAAGAAAGTCTTCATTGAACACAGAAATCATATTTCTTTCCGGTTCATAAGTATTAAAAAGTCTGACATACTTTCTAAGTACTTATTTACTATTTATTCAAACCATTTTTGTATTTCTTTCATGTATCAAAACTTATAATAAGTATCACATATATTTACACATAACGTTGTCCTAAAAGTTTACTCTGGTGAAAAGTCAGGAAAAAAACTTTCATGTTTTATGAGTTTAATTCTAAATTCATTGGTTTTTAAATAATTTCTATCCCACATACAAATCTCTGCTTATGGGTTATTATTTGGTAGGTTGTGCAACTGAATCTTGAAACTAACGGAAATTGTCCGGTGATAATATTGTTCATTCAATTCAATTCAGAAAGTTTTTCCTTGTTTTTCAAGTGATTGATATTTTTAGTCAGGAATGAAACTAATTCATGTGAATATAGGGTCCGTTACTAATTAATATCTACTTATAAACTGCAAAAATACTGCCGACCATTTGACAGCAGACGCTTTCCTCTAAAGCAATTTAAGTTCTTCATTCGTGACCGCGTAGTGAAATGTAAGGGTGAAGTAGATATCACTAACCTACCAAACTAGTGAGTCAAAGTTTATTGATGCTAACTTTACTAACTTAGCAATCGAACTTTGCCAACAAGAAATGCCGTATTTTCTATTACATTGTTGATGACTAAGACATTTTGCTTGAAGTCTCCGATGAACGTTAGATTATTGTCATATGGGTTTGATCATGTCTTTCGCATTTAAAACCCAAAGTGCATGTTTAAAATAAATCCCTAAATCATTAATTAATAATTTCCATTTATCTTGTAATTCGGTCTTACTATGATATCTTGAATGACATAATATATTTATGAATGATTTAGATGAAGAAGACTGCTATATTTTTGAGTTTTACCTCAAAATATGAATAGCTGTTTAATCTGTGTCCTCAATCCCTCGATATTGTTCTGTTTTTAAACGTTTACTCGCGTTATATATTTGCTTGTAATCTGACGACTATCTCATGTATATAACCACCCCTTTTTAGAAGGGTGTTTGGTTGCTGTCTACATGGTTTGAAGTTATTCAGATGAGCTCAAAATTGATTTTTTTAACTTGCAATCACACAATTAGAAGTAGTCAAATATAATTTTACATGAATCCTTACCATCAACTATTACTGTATTCTGGTTACCAGACAATCATCTTTATTTATATACATGGTTTCGGAAAAAAATATATCATCGCAGAACATCTGGTATGCTAACCAGTAATTTTGCTCACTGCTTATTCTTTAATAATATATTGTTTTAACTAATACAATTATTCTTTAAAAGATTCAAGTATATGTCGCGGACAAATTTATAAAAAGATGATGTTGTGTGCATGAGTTTTGATAATTTTATGTTCTTTGGACTGGATTGTTTATCTGCAAGTCTGTGTTTGTCATTCTAAGCAAAAGTCAACATTACTGATTCATACTTCCGGAACGTTTGGGTAAATGAATGTATTTCAATATGTATGCTACCTCGAGAGATACAATTCATTAAAATTCTTTGACATTCTTGATGTCTCGTTTAAGAAGAATAGTAAAAATTTCTAGGTAGTATATACACACAGACGTGCAGATTCCAACAATCACTGTGTAATAGTAATTTATTAACAACAAATTGATGATATGATTCAATGAAGATTGAAAAAGCAACTTAGATACAATTCCATAATGGATTGAGCTCATACTCTCTACTTTTAGCAAGGATATAACTTGATACAAAAGGATTCTGGTTATTATTCATGAACGAATCTGCAATTTCTACAAATTTCCAGATAGATTGAATTCATTTTTTTCTGAAGTTTGTAAATAACCTAACCAGAGACTTGGAAACCTTTTACAAAATTCCCATAACCATTGATTGATGTAGGCAATCATTTAGGACAGTTCTTAAATTGATATCAGGTTGACCACTATGAATTTACGGTATCAGTTATAGTTTTCGATTATATATATTGAAATAAACTCACTATTACAACACATAGGACGGATAATACTGTCTCAGGATTTAGTCCATAAAACTACGTTCTCGAAGAAATTACAAAACAGTTACTAAGCCAGAGATATGTGATACTTTTACTTTGATAACTAGTTCAAATTAGGTATCGATCAACATCGACTTTTATATCCAGTGAAGCAGTGAAATGTTAATCTAAATAAATGTTGCTGTTAAGCCATATAAATTATTTACTAAACTTAACAAAGGTTCAAATAAGATAAATGTAGAATAGCGATCAATTTAAATGGTATTTCTGGATTACCTAGTCATGGGATCATTGGCTGGTCAATATTTAGCATAAGGTCATGTTTAATAGTTAATCAGCCTAATATGTATATATAATATCATGTAAGGTGCCTGAATAATTCATTTCAATTTTCTCAGTCTATCTTTTTATGATAAAGTTTAATATAATGACCAAACTCAATACGCCCTTAAGCTACTAGAAATGAAAGCTTGTGTATAGTGGAAGCAAACATTTGGACAGACATTTGATGAGAACTTGTTTTGTGACTCTCGTACAAATTTTGTCGAACATTCAGTGATCTACATCGAAAAACCTCATAACAAATAATAGTCAAAGTTGTACAATAAACAGTATGAGCTAATCTATAGGGTTAATGCCATTACACACAGATATCGGAAATACCTTGCCAAATATAATGATTTTGTCACGGAATGCTTTATTCTTGCAATAACAGTTTGAAAGACAGTTCATCCATGATCAGTACCTAATGTAGTTTGTTTAATGGTTTACTAGCTTATTAAATAAAATGATTAAGTTTCGGTTAGTAACAGTTGTTTGTCTATTACATGAATGATGATGTTATTAAATTACTTCATCAACTGATGAACGGTACGGTTTACGATCGTTTTATTTGAAAACTTTGCAATCAAGAAACATTGCTGAAAGTTAATAGTGGTTATGTGTGAAAAACATTTCACAGTTAAATGACAATGAAGTAAAGACTGAGGGAAAATTTATGGTGCACACTGGAAAGATTTGGACACTAAGCTATAAAAAACAAACGTAAAAGTTGTTCAACACATAAAGTCATAACCTCTATGTGTCTAATGTGATGTATATCATAATAAGCCATACAGAATTTTCTGTTAATATCCGTGTTTGCATTAAATATTTTGCGATAAGCAGAAGTTATAATCTCTATTGCTATTTTTCCAAAATGATTGCTGAGTCAAAAGCACCAGCTACTCCCTTAAAATGATCTTCGATAAAATGAATAAAAAACCTTAACTTTATTTTCCATTGCTTTTATAAGCTTGATGAAGGTCACACGAGCCCTTTTACAGCACTGAAACAGGAGCCAGTACTTCATCTCTTGTGAAATTCAGCCTCGTCATCAGTATTAATGTACCACCAGGTTTTATTTCCAGAGATATTCGAACTTGTTTGGTAAGCGGATGGGTTTGCTTTGAATCAGTTGTATAATCAAGTAAATTATGTACGTACATTGTTACAGTTTTGGAATAACTATCATAAGCAGACTTTTATAAATGTAAGATTTGTTAACAAAAATATTTCATATCTGAATAGAGTCAATTCTTTATGTATTGATGGATTCAGTCTTATACATAAAGCATAGTTTGTATTCAATACCCTAAAACGTCTTCATCTGAGTTTTCAACACATTAAAACACAATTGTTATAACACAATTCGCATAAAGTTTGATATGAAATAAAGTATAATTCATTCAGATAACATGAATTCATTCAGATAACAATTCTTAGAAAGTACTGGACCTTACTATCCATATTCAGTAATACTCATTTAGTACAGATCAGTTTAAATTATATATTTTAATGCTGAATTTGTTTTCATATTTATAGTGAATATAAAGTACTATAGAATATGAATTTATTAACTGGTAATAATGTAACATGATGTCTGATACATGCAGAAATGTTGAAAAATAACGTACAAAATAAACACAGGGAACCTCACCTACCTTGGTTACCAGTACTGAATTTATTAACTGAAGGCGATGAATTTTCTCTTTGTTACCAGGTATGTTGAAATTTGATTAATATATATTTTAATCAAAACAGCTTACATTAATCTTCCTCTTTGAGTAGAACATTACTATGAAATCCGAATTAGATAAGTCATGGAGTTTTGTTCTCTGAGCTGGATGGTTTAGTCGTGGAGCTTTCATCGTCCTTTTGAACGACATCATCAGAAGAACGATAAAAGCTCTAAGACTAAGCCATCGAGCTCAGAAAACAAAACTTCATCAAAATGGCCATTTTTTAAGCCTATAAAGTAATATAATGTTTTAGTAATCACTTGTATGCTTGCAATATAACATAAATCTGTACGTTCCACGTACACACGGACACATTTCACTCATTCACCAGATGTTTGACACTATTATTATATGGCATAAATAAATAGTTCATTATCAATGTTTAATTCTTTTTCCTCATAATGACATTTCCATAAATAAGGAAATGTACATGCGATTCGAATTAAAACACTTGTTACGCAATGTTCTATTGTATTAACAATGAAGATGCAAAATAAGACAATTATTTGTAAATATTTTAAATTGAAACAAGTGGAAAAATTGTATTTGTCGATTATGTAAGAAAACCATTCTCGACGGAACAATATATATGCGTATAATATGTAGTACACCGGTATTTCTACAACAGGGGAACTTTAAACTACATGAATTATATGATTAGCACTGAATGAAAGAAATAGGTCGATAGGCAATTGCCAATTTTAACAAAAATGTTGATTTCTCATCTCTGCATCTAATAAATCAGAATAAAAACTATATATATATATATTCAAGGAAATCAATTTTCAAACATTTTTACGAAATCACTGTAAACAAGAAAGAATCAGACTAGAAGAAAGAAAAAAACGAAACGAATGAAGTTTCAACAATAGCAATTCGCTCTCTTTGTCTTCATCTTATTCTTTCTCAAACACAATGAAAATAAAACTAAAATAACGCCGGTAACGTTTTATTCCTACATTGTAGAAGTATCAATACTGACAACTATTTAATCGGTCTATTATTGATCAACAATCTTATATTAGCTTAAATATAATAAAAAACAATGCTGAATAACTATGAAAGCTGTAAGTTAGACAGAAATGAAAGAAATCATTTCTAAAAAATAATCCTTTAATGATGGATTCATAAAAAAAAGTAATTTCTCCATGGAACAGATGTTTAAATGACGATAACAGTTTATTGTTGACTTGTTAAATTCATTCTATTTATTCAATGTAACCATATATTTTGTTTTAAATAATGAATTCATCTACACACTTTAAATTTCGTCAATATCGTGCCCAATTTAATATTGTGAAATTTAGAAAAATTAACTGATCGAAGTGGAGGTTTATTTAGCTAAGAAAAACAAATTTAATTTATTAAATGATTGCTATAGACGGTTTATATATATATATATATATATATATATATATATATGATGCTTAAATACATTTTTTCTTCCGAACTTTTAAAGTCATTTAGGGGGATAAAACTGTGACTGAATTATTGAAACAGAGAATGGTAATTTTTATCACATTTAGATGTCTTTACATTAGTTCACTGTGATAATCATTTTCATAGTCCAATCGATTAACAAATTTAGATAAATTTGTAGATCTAAAACATAGTACCATTTGAGGAACTGATTTATTTTGGAGTAGATCATTATATTATGGTTCTTTATTAGCTCAAAAATAGTAAATACACTTATGTCCAAACGAATAAAAAATAAACAATTCCAATCGGCTTGGATTTTGAATAGAATCTGGCTTAGAAATAAAGGTTTGATACGGTTCTCACTCCACACAATGTCATTTTCTTCCATGAGATATGATTCTTCCTTAAAATTATTATGGGATTTATGCGTTCTTCTACATGAAGCTTCATGAGGCAAATAATAGCTGCCATTCCGTTTCATGTTTTGCACAAAAATAAACGTCACTATCTGAATGTTGGTTGGTTTAACAATATTATATGGTTTTGCCAATTGTACTAAGGTTACGTAACAACAGCTAATAATATGACTAGAGAAGCATGTATGAACCTGTTAAATTAAGTGGTTTGTAATCAGGTCGTTATGAAATCGCATAAGACTTCCGACTGGATTTTTGTCTTGAGAATGTTTTATCTTCATTCTCTCACAATAACTTCTCCGTTGTTCTGTATTGCTAAATGAAAAAGTTGTTTAGCAAACCTATAAAACACTTGACAATCAATATTCTCTCAGTCAGAATAAACCACTGAGTGATATATATTTGTCTATCATAAGTGGAAATCGCTTATACCATACAGTTTTTTTATTATTTGTTAGACATGTAAAAAGATTCGGGAGTTGTAGATATACATATGCTGAAAATAAGAAAAAACCAGTGACTATCGTTTACTTCACTATGTAATGCGCCAACATAATGATAATTTCAAAGACGTCATATTAATGGGGTCTCCTGAACTCTTTCAATTATCAGAACATTCTGTCGATTATTTAGAATCTTTAAGAAGTAATATTGTAGAATAAAGACAGCATTTGCTTAACTAGATGAATTATGACCTCACTGGAGTTTTCAAATAATGAATGCAATTCATTTTTGTTGTTTTTCTACACTGTACATTATTTAAAACTCTTGTGAAAAAGTCCAATTCATGCCTATCATAGCCACCAAGCGTTGATTTTAGGGACTTTAAAAATACAAACTTGTTGCAGTTTAAGAAAGTATCTTTGAACACGTGAGCGTACGAGACACTTGTAACAATTCATATTTACAATGACAATGACTGTTAATCTCTATCATAACAACAGAATCTCTTCTAATATCACTTATTTTTGATTGTCTTGTCTTTACTTGAAAAGAGGCGCTACTTGATTTATAATGTAAATTCACTGTTGAATCTCCCATTAGATGTCAGATTTGGTCGATAGGTTGAACTTATCCTCCAAACGTCGAAGCTTTTAAATAAAAGTAGATACCAGTAACGACAATTCAAATGCGTTACAATCAATGAATCTTTGCAAAGAAGCTTAGAGTCATTTTAAAAATGGAAACGACTTAGTGGTATTTGTAAAATATCTAGCTATTTCGATATCTCGAAATAAATGACAATGAAACTGAACAGTTTTTTAATTTTTTGTTTGAGTTTCACATGTACGATGAGTAGAATTTACAAAGACCCTCAAACGCATTACATTCTTAGGTTATTTATATAATGCTTTATTAATTACAATCCATTAATTATATGATCAATATAGGAAACAGAAAATCCCTCCAAACAAATGACATGGAATAAAGTTTTCGTACAAATTGATTTGTGGGGATTTTTCATCTATTGGAATTCAATAGAACAAAAAGTAGGTGGTCGTTTTCTTATTTTTTGTTTTTGCCAAATTCATCAAAAATTGTTATCTATAATCAAATTTAATTAGATTGGGATTCAAGTATTTTGTTATGATTATATATATAATACTATAGTTTCATACTTGAGTGACTTCTGAAATGGCCTTGTGAATGTTATGTTCTCTATCAACCAATGATGAAGTAGATGCGGTTAAGAAAAAAATTAAGTCAAAAAATAACTGAATTATTATCTTTAATGGATCCTTTGAATAATGATTCCACTTTAGATAATCGGTTAACAAGTTAAAAATTGTTGACTTAATATATTTGCATTTCAGTCAACTTCTACAATTATCCGTGAATCACTAGTTAAAAATTCAAATGACAATAAGTTCAGATCAAATACCTCCACAGTATTGATGTGTATGGTGTTTATTAGTGCAACTTTCTTGGTCAAATGTGCTTATCTTGCAGCATTATCACTAGCATTATTCAAAAGGTTATTTTCTAGAGCTTTTCCATCCGTAAAGGTGAAATGATACCAAAAATGAAGATATCTTTCCTAATATGCTATTATTCACCAAGCTGAAACGTAGTTTTGAGATGAGAGTTTGTGAAGACTGTATGGTTTTACGACGTTGACTGACACCGCTTTGAGAATAGTTGAGTCTGTTTTGATTATTTATCAAAGTATTCAAACAGATGCACTTAGTAAATATGTTGGGTTTATCCTGAAAGTAAGTTCCCAGAATTTCATTTCTCCTAAGGTTTCATCAAAGGAATTTTATGTTTAACGTAATATAAGATCTGTTAGAATAATGCGCTTTAAAATCCACATACTGAATATACCGAGCTCATGAAATAGAACAACGCCTCTTTAGATAAATCGGCTTTCAAATTAAATACTGAAATCTGTTAACATAAAGATTAGCCTGATATGTTGCCATTTCTAACTCTTGATTTATTTCGTTCTTTCATTTAGGTTTTTACCACAGTGGATCTCATGTATATTGAAGATATTGAAATGTGCACAGATAGTGATGATGTAAGTAATACAATGACATCTTACATTTCATTTGTTGTAAGGCAACTGCTTAGCACTAACTGAGCTAAATTCAGGTATTACGGAACATAAAGCAAAGTCTTTCAAGAGAGTATAATAAAGCAATACAAGGACGATGAACCTCGTCATTCGTTATTTATCTGTTAAAATTAGGAGTATGGCAGCGAAGTAAATTTACTCATTTTGATAATAGTATGTAAAATGACGTGGTGCTAGCTCCTAAAGAGGTTAAAAAAACCTGTATCTCTGAACCAACTGAATTTAATCATTTCTAGGAGAAATATATATTGAACTTCAACCAAACTTATGAGATCAAAGTCTATACTATCAATATTTATTCAGCGAAACATTAGACCAAAACGTAATCGCGCGGGTGATATACTCATTGAACTTGTTATGGCATGAAATTGTTGCTCAAAGTAATACTTATGAAGAAATAATATTC